CTGACCTCAACCCCATCAGACACCTTTGGGATGAACTAGATCAGAGATTGTGAGCCAGGCCCTCTCGTCCAACATCAGTATCTGACCTCACAAATGCTTTTCTGGAGGAATGGGCAAAAATTCCTGCAGACACACTCCAAAATCTTGCAGAAAGCTTCCTAGAAGAGTGGAAGCTGTTACAGCTGCAAAGGGGGGACCAATTCCATAATAATGCCTATGGATTTAGAATAGAATGTCCTAAAAGCTCTTATAAACGTAATGTGTAGGTGTCCCAATACTTTTTTCATATAGTGCATCATTGTGCACTGCTCATCCATATTTAGTTTTGATTTCAGATACCAATCCATTAAGGCTTTTAGTGTCCCAGAAAGTCATCTTCGTCTGGACACTACAGTAATCTGTAGTAATGTTTTAGAATTATGCCATATGTGGCTTTCATTCAGCTGCCCTCAGGTCAGCTAGCCTTCTATCCAGATCAGTGGCTCAAAATGACCTCAATTTGATTTTAAAGAGGAAATGGTCAATGATCAGCTGGGGAAATGGATACAGACAGTCATGTTTATGAATAGTGTGTTTGTGTGGGTGTCTGCTGCCTGCTGTAAGTCTAATTGTTCTCATGACTGTAAGTGTGACTAAGTGGCTGCAAGTACATTTGAATGGAAGTGTGAAATCTTACACGTGTTACACACCTCTTGAATAAAATAATATGCTGATAAAATTAAAGGCAGCATTCCTTTTTTTCTGCTTGTGTTTTTGGAGCTCCACTGTGAAACAAAATGCACACTGTTCATTAGTTATGGCTAAAGATTACAGTAAGAGCACTGCTCTGGATGATTCTAACAGGTCTTTTCAGGAAGAAAACAGAAATTTGGACAGAACAGCAGTGGATCACTGTCTGACTGAGTGCTAGGATGCTCTCAACTCCTTTGTCTGGTTCACAGACAGATGCTTGTTCTGTCTCTCACTCACAGTCAGAGGGAAAAAAAAGAAGAAAAAGGAGACAGACAGACAGACAACGGGGTCCATTCCTGCATATTGAAATGACTTGTACTATAGTACACTACACACGTTTGTGCCTTATACAGTATGGTTGCGATCCAAGGCTACTGTCATGGTCACAGCAGTCAGAGATCAACTCACCCAGTACAGTGAAACCTGATTCTGAACATTTTGGGACCATGAGAGACATCAGTCTTGTTATTCTGTATGATAAAATGAAAAGAATTAATATTTCACTTGGAATCAGGAATTGGTAATACAACAACAGAGTGAAAACATACATTGGATTTTTTTAATTAAGTGATAGTTGGACTGAGGAGTAGATTAGAGTTTGGTTTTACAAAGAATGACACCTTTTTTAGTGCTTACAGAGAGAGGTGTCCAGATTGCACAGAAACGTGATCTCGCCCATAACGGTTCCAATGGAGAAAGGTGGTAATAATAATAAAAAAAATTAAAAAATCATTATCAGTATATTATGGCGAACTTAGAGGAGCCGAAGGTACACAAGATGTGAAGTGAGCAAGTGAATTATCCACTATTGTCATCATATCTTCATCAATATCATCTCGATTTTGCTTTTTGAGACAGGAAAGTAAATATGGAAACCTGTCAAACACTTTTTTTTTAACTTTTAGTTTATTTTTTTTTGGCAGGAAAAACTTGCTGTAAAGCATTTTTATTACAAAAATGTCAGTTTGATGGAATTCATGGACATTTTTAAAACATTTTCATTTTATTGCTTGCAGTTTGTGCAAAACATTGATAAAACATAGCTATTGTTAAACAACAACAAAATGAAAAATGACATACTTCTGGGGCCCCCTTGTGGTTTGGGGGCCCTAACTGACCTCTTATGCTGCTTATAGCAAGAAATGGCTCTGATCTCTCTCTGGGGTTGCACTGTGCCACAGCTGCAATTTTAAAAGCCAGATGCGGTCAGAGGAAGACGAGCAATTATTCTAGAAATGTTTGTTGAGTTTGGAACCATTCCCAGTTGTGTATTTTCTGTGAGTGTATGTTTGTAATGAGCATGTTTGATTGTGACTCACTAAGCTCCTAAAATCCACACAGGGGTCAAAGGTCATTATGTATAGAACCATTCAGGCTGTGAGGACAGTGAGCTGGATGGATGGATGGATGGATGGATGGATGGAGAGAGAGACATAGTGAGGGAGGTATGTTTAGTCTAAACAGAGCCAAAGCAGAGGAAGACCAGCTGCTCCCCCTGTGCTGGGCTGCTGCTGACATAGATATTGCAAGAGGCTGTTTGGAAAGTCACTGGCCCCCTCCAGGGCCTTTTGTTTCCCACGCCACCTTCTCATGCTCCCCTACTCCCTTCATATTCACATACAGCTATAAATAAGCCGCACTGACCCAGTCACGTCTGATAGAGCAGCTTTAAGAGAATGCTCTGGAATGGCCTCTGTAACAAGCTCTGGTTATTAGCCTTTACAGTAATACATGTTAGAGGTGAAACAATATGACTTTTTTTTTTCGATACAATTTTTCATTTTGTTTTATTGTTTGATTGTTTTATATGCTGATTGAGGTTGAGGATGTGTCTTCTGAGGAAGCAAGTGAATTATCCACTATTGTCATCATATCTTCATCAATATCATCTCGATTTTGCTTTTGAGACCTCAACATCTAGCCAGACCTTCCTTTTGACTTGTGTGTGATGCTAATACATTACTCAGACATAAAGGTCTGAATAACCCCCACATTATGCCATTTTCCCCCTCCTGACTCTTTCAATTTTAACAAAAGAATCTTACATAGTGCAGCTTTTAATGGCAATATGGAGCAGTGTAATCACAATATGGTATTTTGCACGTCCTGTGCTGCCCTAAATACATGCTAAAGAATGCTAGAGTGATATTTGAGAGTATGTTGATATACCTAAGTCACTGGGTTGTGAGAGTGAGTCAGACGTGTTAACTCCTCTGGAGGTGTCAGGGAAGCACTGGGGAGTGGGGGGCTTAAGACTTGGCATCTTTCATGGGCTGCCTGTTTTTCTTTCAGCTTCTGCCACCCAGGAGCGACACCCCTGCACAAACACTGAATTCTTTGTCTGTGGTGATGCTTCAAATTAGAGCTTGGGGTTTTCATTACATCATTTTGCTTTTTTTTATAAAAATGTTTTGTATATTTATTTTCCTCTTTCTGTTTTTGTTCTTCCTGTTATCACACAGATGTTTTGCTCCTTTTTTATGGAAAGTGCTTTGCTTCACTTTATTCAACTGACCATATTCAAACCAGTTCAGTCATTTTGGAGCTGTCAGAGGCCTTGTTTCTTTTGTATATTGTTTGTGTGTTATTGTAAGATTCCATTTCTGTTCAGAGCATTCGCTGAGTGCTGTCATGGAAACAAGTGGGCCTATAAGTATTCAGTAGACCCCGGGGCTTTAGCACTCATTGGCTGCACCCTTTCAACACTCTAGCCTTAACAGAGGATGTTAATGACTGCATGGATTCATTCAGTCACAGACTAATGTTATAAAACAGTGTTCTGTTGCTGTTTTCATAACCTTTTTAGGTGTGGCTTGAGATGGGTGCAAGGTCAATGAAAGCTATTCATCTGTAATGCCACGGTAAATGTTTATAGTACATCGCTGAATTAAGCATGATTTAGTTGCTTGGCAATCTATATAACATGGTACATTGATTGATAGGGCTAGACATAAGCACTGAGAGAGTAAGCGTTTCTTTGGCCAGAAAAAAAAAAGAAACAGAGCAGTTTGCTGACAGGAAACGTTTTTGTCTTTATGTTGCGGGGTGTTACCACGGCAACTTGTGCAGGTAAGCCCATCGTCAGGAAGTGAATGCATTGCTGGCGGAGAAAGGCACAAACAGAAAGAGGTCAATGTCTGCTAGAGCACCACTACAGATGATTTCACTCAGCTATTGTTCCTCCAGCAAATGGGAACTGCTGAATATTTCATCAGGGTTGGGACAGGAGAAACCTGTTGTGACTGCTGAGCGCTCTGCCTGTCTCTCATTCTGAAAGGCTGAACTTAATGAGCTGGGATGAATGCCATGGAATAAAAGAGTCCTTCGTGATGGTGAGCAGTTTCATCAGCATAGGGGAGGTTTTGTGTGTGTGTGTGTGTGTGTGTGTGTTGCTGAGGTTTTACATTTGTGCTGGCCCATTTATGCATCGTGAAGGCTTTCTGATTTAAGAAAATTTACATGACCTTTCTCCTTGGACTTGACTGGCCTATCTCTTTGGATGTTTTCCATCAAAGTTAGACCTCAGTTGCCTCTCTTGGAGAGGTTAGTGGGAAGAAAGTTGTCCTTATATCAACATGAAAATGTGGTGACAGCTGCCTGTAACCGTCAACCCATAAGTAGGTGAATAGACCAACACTGTACTATTTCACTGGTTGTTCATCCACATTGTAGAGGCTCTCAGAGGATACCTTTCACTAGTTACAGTCACATTTACATTCAATGCAAGAGTCCTGCCTGTCGTTATTGTTCATGTAGTGTACAGTGTAGTGTCAGATGATTATCAGCCTCATACATTTTTCATCTGACAGATGTTTTTTGCACATTCTACAGACATTTAGTAGTATGCAAGTGCCATGCTGACAACGACCAGGCCTGCTGCGTTCCCCACCAGGACTCTTTGTCCAGTAGTCTTATCTTATCTCAGTATTGACTAAAATTTCAGTCTGCTCAACTCTAAGAGACAGCCTGTGAACTCGGGTGAAGGTTGCATCTAGACTCCCCTGTCTGACTGGGACAGGGCATTTGAAAGCTTCTGTTGGTATTCAGGGCTGTCTCACAGATAAAACATCCTGGAACTGCTCCACCATTGACTGACTCTACATTCCACTCACAGTGTATTGATCTTGCGCTGAGGGAGCCGAATGACACAGCAGTACTGGAATTCAGTAATTGAGTTAGTTTGCTATCTACAGCTCTGCTGAGATTCGAGATGCCATCTCCAATTTTGTTTCGAGACTTATGGTGGTGTTTTTTGTTTCTTTCCACAGGTTGGTTAGAGCCGGTCTGAAGACTGAGGATCACGGTCATCATCAAATGAAGAGTATGCTTTATTAGAAATTGGATGTGTATGCAACATTTAACCTCTTTAGAAAAACAGAGGCACATATTGACTCCTCTGGACTAGGCCTTTGTGGACTGGATTTATTTTTTTGTGGACTGGTACAGATTTGCAAAGATGCCTATTTTGAAGCAGCTAGTAGCAAGCTCGTCACAGACCAAGCGGCGCTCTCGCATGGACCTCACTACAGAGATGATCAGCGCTCCTCTTGGTGACTTCCGTCACACCATGCACGTGGGCCGGAGTGGTGATGCTTTCGGGGACACATCCTTCCTCAGCAGCCACTCTGGAGAACCGCCGCGGGATGGCACCTATCCCCGCTCACCCAGGCCAGGCCTGCTGTCAAGAACCTTCAGAAGCAGCAAGCGCTCTCAGTCAGTCACCCGTGTGGACCAGCGAGAGAACACGCTTCTGCCCCCTAGTGGCTCACCTACGTTTGTGAAGAACGCTATGTCTTTGCCTTTCCTGAATGATCAGGATAAGGACACTGGAGGCAGCAGGGTGCCTATGAGCCTAGCCTCCAGCCCCATAAAGCAGCTGCCGTCCAATGGGGCAGCTGCCCATGGCCTGGACCTGGAGCTCCATGAGCGGTGCTTCGGGGAGCTGACTGACTTGCGCCCCTCTCCGATTTATAATGGACGAGGAGGGATGAAACATGCTGAGTCAGTGATGTCCTTCCATGTTGACCTGGGGCCTTCCATGCTGGGAGAAATCCTAGGGGTCATGCAGAAGGAAGATGATGACCAGGGCTTTGAAGAGGGCAAAAGCAGCGAAGGACGGGCATCTCCACTTCTCAGCATCCAAGGAGGGGAAGAGGAGGAGCATGAAGCAAAGCAGGAATCGAGGGAAGAAGTGGTGGTAAAGGAGGAGCAGGAAATGGATCTGGAAGAGGAACATGAAGCTCCTCACCGGGCACCCAGCTCAGTAGACCTGGAGATCCAGAGCGAGGCCACCAGCACCCCCGAGGTTCAGCCCAAACATCTGCAGCAGCCTGACAGCTGCTCCGTCTCCAGCTCTGGTTCCCATGCCCTGGAGGACAAACCAACCAGCCAGCCATACGAGGCTGACATGGACAGCACCAACTACAGCTACAACCCAGGAGAGGAAGGAGCCTTTTCTTCCTTCTTAGAGGACGAGGATGACGAGATTCGTGTATGAGAAACCAGAAGTCTTGCAAGAGCTCTGTGAGGCTGGAGAGACATGCAAAACAAATCTGACAGTCCTATTGATGTTGTATATAAACGGAAAGTCCAGAACTGCTGCTGGGTCCTGCGAGGAATCTGTGAACAGGTCAAAAGCACGCTGATGGCTCCATTCCTCTGTCTGAGCAAAGAGGGAATCAGGGTGGCTGCCTTGCGTGGCTGTTGCTACAGCCTGCCACACTGAGCCCTTAACCAACCTGGGCATATCAGCCACTGCTGTTTGCATTAGGAGGAAACTAAGAAGACATGGTTGGTGATGAAGGGAGCCGCAAATAAAAAGAACAGAGATGTTTCATTGCTTTGCTTGCACCATTTCCCTCCTCATCTTATGTCTTAAATGAGCATTGGTGTGTAACATTTGTGAAGTCATGTGGATGGTGAGTTCTGGTTGTTTATGGGAACTGGGTTATTTTCACTACACTATCAGCACCCTTTTTTGTTACGTGTTTGAAGGGACATGCTGCTAATGTAAGCATGCCTGAGTCTGTTTTTCACTCCTCTCTGTGATTAGGACAGGAGTTTGTAGGCAGTTACGACTTTGTTCTTCACATAAAGGTTTTTTTTCCCACATCCTGTTGAATGCTGTCATTAAGGCTGTTGCACTCAGTAGCATAGGAGATATCCCTGAAATAAAGATTAAGAACCAGAATGTGGTGGAAACCAAAGGAGGTGCAGTAGCAGATGTTTCATGTTTCGTGTTTCCCCTGCTGACAAGCAATACTTCAGTATTAGGAGTGATGACAGGTGGCAGGGCTCTTTCTTCAGTGTGTACAGAGTTTTGTATACTGGCCTATGCTGCGTCTTTATCTCACCACTTCCTTCCTTATCATGTGATGGGAAGTAAGCTCTGCAGCTGGCTAGTTAACACGCTGAAGTTATGTTATCTCAGTATCACGTGGTCCATGTCACTGAAACTGCCAGAAACAGCATCTGTGCTGTTCAGTTTGAGAATATTTGTTTCATCTAGCATAGTCACGGCAAAAAAAAAAGATTTGCATTAATTAAGTTATTTTTGGGGTTGTCTCCATGCAGTCAGTCAGCACCACTGAATGGACTTCATGGAAATTTAGTGTGGAACATCTTTAAGCAACAGCGACACTAACTTCTACTCAGATAGCCTGCTTCTGTTTGAACTGAGTGACACAGAAATCATACGTTATAGGCAGTTATTCTCATGGACAGCCATGAATTGGACAACATAAATGAATGTGAGTGAGGCCTCACAGCTGTGCTGTTGTGCTTGCCTAATGCTACAGCCTTCTCATTTGGGTCTTTTGTACGCTGTTGGCTACAGCAGACTAATAGTTCTGAAGAACTGGAGTTGTAAGAAATCCTGATGGAGCATTTAGCAGCAGGAATCCCTTCAGCCTTAAGTAGATATGACAAAAGTGCCAAATTTAATCTACCACATACTCCAAAGTAAAACTGGCAATTTGGACATCATTTAACATGGGATTTTTAGGGGGTCTCCCTTGCTGACTTGATTATTCAAATAAGAGGCTAAACCTCAGACTTAATTAACTGAAATGCTTAGCTAGAGTATATTTGCTTAAACCACTTTAGAGGGGAAAGAAACACAGCAGTTCCAAGATATTTGCGTAGGATTTTTCTGGAAGTCTATTTTGAATTCCTATAACAAAGAAGTACCAGATTTACTCTTGTCAGCAGCTGACTTATAAGATCAGAGGTCTATTAGATTCTGGCCTGCTATTTTACATGTGTATAATAACAAAACTTGCTAGTCTTTCTTACTTTTCTATGTCCCTTTTTATGTATATTTTTCTTGCTTGGCGACCCTAATTTTGAAAATGCAATATAACAGCTATATTTTTCAATAAAAGGAATTTGTCATCACCCAGCAGGCCTATGTGTCTTACTGTTAGTCCATGGTATTATACAGTACATTTGTTAAGTTGGTTAGATGAACAGTTTGTCTTTGGAGGAGGCCGCTATCTTTAATAGTCTTTAATTCTTTATCTTTAATTAAATGCAAGCTTATGTATACAAATTTCCATTGTGCCACATAAGAAAACCTATTTAAGTTTACATAAATGGGGAATTTCACCGATTTATTTTATTTATTTATTTTTTTTTTTTCTGCTTAACTAAGTTAGATAAGCTAAGGTCCAAGTGAGATGTTTGATGTGAAATGCTCTGCTCTGTAGAAGTTTAAGTAAGAATTGTTCAGAGCGATGGTGATAGGAACCAGATATCCCAAGAATTGAATGCCTCTGAACTCCACAGAAAATTATTGTACAGAATGGTTCTGAGTATTTTGCTGGATGTCTGAGAGATTGTTTTAGGATAGTTTTAAGAGAAAATTTTAGCCCGTGGTGTATTTTTATAAATCTATTCATGGTTTAGAAATACATGGCTAGTGTTTTGAAGCAAAATGGTTTACCACTATTTTACCACTTCCAACATTATCTATAAAACTCAGAACACGTCTAAGTTCATTGGTCTGTTTGGATAGTAAATAAAATGGCTATATTTGTATTACAGACCTCATGACTCTTGGTTCCTATCACCACCACTGTAAAGAACATGGAGTCAGTAAGTTTCACATCAAACCATTCTGCATGACTTTGTTCACATCTCAACGAGTGACTTGTGCATGAGTTCCCCTTTACCTTGAATACAGTAATAGGCAGGTATAAGGTGATTCAGGCAGTTTGGACACTACTAATCAGTGTACATGAGCGACCTTTACCAATTAGTGACTTCAGCATTGTAGCTTGAGTGCCAAAACTAAAGCTGCAAACTAAAGATCATCTCTTAGCTGACTGACTACACATTGTATAAATTAGATTTTTGGCTGAACTATTTGTTCAAAGGCAGCTTTTAGCTGACATTAAACTAATACTTCACTTTTTTTTGGACTGTAGTTGCACTTATTCAGAATGTTTCCCCCCAGTGTTTTGTGACACTAATGTGAGCATTATCTCTCTGCTGGTGATATATCAGTATGTGTGTGGCGGTGGCCCTAACCGCAGGCTCACCTCCTTTCACAGCTGCGCCTAGTTCCTCTGTGGAGCAGGGGCATGGCTGGGAGGGGTGAGGAGGATAAGAGGCCTGAAGCAGGGCCTGATGGGGAGCTCTTTGTCTTGGGTGAACTGCAGAGTGCAAATCCAATGTGATGCTACCTCATTAGGCCAGGATTGGAGCAGAGCAGCTGGTGATGGACCCGAGGGAGCTGGACATTTGTCAGCGGGCAGAAGTACCTCTGCTGTTGTTGAAGCGGGGAGTCATGTAGGACAGTGGTTCTGGAATACCCCTGCTCTGCATATTTTGGTGTTCTCTCTGCACTAACACATCTGATTCAACTAAACATCTGGATTAGAAAGCCTTTCCTTAGTTTGGACCAAGACTAGGAACTACAGCTCTACCTTTAAAAAATAATGTGCCATAAGGGTTCTTGTGCACACCTTAGAACCACTTTCTGGTTCTCTAAAGAACCTTTCAGTGGACTACTGTAAATGAGATGTGCAAGCATGAAGAACCTTTCTGACGTTCACACATTTAAAGATTCTATACCAACTGGAATTTATTTACTAAAACCAAACAAATCCGAGAACTGTTAAGAACCTTTGTTTTTAGGAGTGTTGACCTCTTCCTTATGTTAGACCACCCAATCCCCCATTTCCTTCCATATTAATCTCGCCCGTCTGCTGCATGCTGAGTCTGTCAGGGGCTCCTTATTAAAAATGCATGTGGCTGCACCTCCTCTTACCTGTTCATTCCTACAGCCCACCATTGTCTTTCTCTCTGTCTGTCTCTCAGCTCCCCTCATTCTGCTTTGCTGTGAATATCTAATCCATCTCTAGCTCACACAGAAGAGCGAGTTCAAGGCCCTTATTCCCCATTCTATTCGAAAAGCGAATGCGTATTGATTCAGGGCTTTGACATAAGCAGAGTTGTGGCACTGAGTGTTCCATTCTTGCATTATTTTTTAGTGCGAGTGTGATGATATCTCAAATTGCTGTTGTCTTCTGCCACCTAGTGGCAGGCACATGAACTACATTAACTACACTTCTGAATTAGTAATTCAGCCAATCTTTATTGCTATTTTCTACATTTTCTTCAACTATCCAAATGTTTACACTTGTTAATTGATTCCCTGCTTTAATCATTCTCTGCTTTCCCTCTCTTTTTGGTTAAAGAAATGAACAGTCATTGTGGCACAGACCTTGTCCTAAGTGCATGTCCTTAGCTTTAGTTTAGCCCTGTCTAGATCAAAGATCAAATGACTCAATTTAATTATTATTCTTTGGTAAATGATTCAGTGGATCACTACAATTTGAGTAAGATATTTTAGTGCGAATTATTTTTAACCATACACTGAATATGCAAATGTGATGGGAGGAACTTTTCACATAACTTTTGTTTAGGTTTAAAATAGCCTGAGGATGTTATTTTGCACATGCTTTAACTATTAGGGTCAAAAACATAACATTTTTAATTTCCTTTGGTCCATATGTTATTTTACCTTATCTGAGCACCAGTCTGCAGACTTCTTTTCAATATGATCAAGCCATTTGGCTGAAAGTGAGGTTTTACCATTAAATTATCATGGCCACATGTGACTTCAGATTTTTATCAAAAATATAATTTAATTCTGAATAAAAGTAGGAAAATTATATGTGATCAAAACAATTCAAATGAGTAGTTAGATGCTCATCCGAAGTACAGCTACACGAAACCTGAATGTGTTTAACATTACAATAATTTCAATTGGTCATTCCAAAATCAATGCACAAGTCTTTGTCTTGTATACAATTTTTTTTCTACATCATTTGAGCGCAGCAGCTCCCTTTAACGTTGTGTAAATTGCTTGGAATAAAATTTCCTTTCCTTTTTTGTGACAGTAACAGTATGATGTGAACCCTGAGCCAGTAAGTTTCTCTACAATGAACTGTGAACGACCTTGTTTACATCTCAAAAATGTAATTATGCAGAAATTTTGAAAAAAATGTGGAATTCCTCTCCATAAATCCATTACCTCTCCAAATGTCCCCTGTTATTATGCTGTTTGTCCAGAAGGGGACCTCAGTTGTCAACATATGGAACCGATCGTCTGCTGCCCTTCCTCCTGAATTCCATGGCGGGAGTTGCTGCAGAGCCTTCAGCAGGCAGTGAGCATGAAGAAATCTGGAACAGATTAACAACCTGCTAGGCTGGAGCTTTTAGAGAGAGAGAGAGAGAACTGGAGAAAAAGAGGGGGAGGGTTAAAGCTGGGACAGAATGCATGATTGTTCATCAACCTCTTTTCCCTCTTTGCTTTTTTTCCACTCCCTTCTCTCTCTGTGTCTCTCTCGCACACACACGCACATACGCACGACCCAAACCTCTCTGGATTCAGTATGACCCCTCCTCCCATACTGTCCCCCACCCCTTCTTTCAGCAGAACTTTCCCTTTGTCTTCCCCATAGTTTGTTTATCCTGAGCTCGAGCTGTGGTCTGAGCGAAGACTGCCGATAAATGGTCACACTCAGTTTGAAGAGCACACACAGCAAAGATGGACATTAACCAGATAGTCCATCCCCTTCCCAGTATCTCTGCAGGGTCCCAACCATAGAATCGCACACAATCACAGATCTGGACCCATCTAAGCAAAGGAGCCCCTCTGGAATGAAAGAAGGGTCAGAAGAGGAAGCAGTGGACAGCCGCAACTTATTTTCCATCCCCCATCCAAACCGGTTTACAAAAACAATGGAATCCGATCAGCAGTGGAGCAATGCCTGTTTGCTGATGTAGGTTCAAAGGCGTGTTTAGTCTACCATCACCACACTTCAGCGTAAATTAGAAGGAATGAAATGGTAGAACTCTGCACTCTTTTTTCCTGTTCTCCTTCCATACCAAAGCATGTTATGACAGCAGATAAAATACTATGATGTGCAGATAGAACATACTGCAGAGATAAGATGGAATTCCTTCACTGCTGCCACCAAAGAATCCAATACATTCACTTGTGTGCCCTCCTGAATCGCTCCTAAATGGTTCTTATCTCAGATATATGGTTCAAGAAAAACCTTCAATTGGAAACTTTCACATTATGTGCACTTTTAAAAAAGGTGCAGCAAGGTTTCTTTGAGTGATGCAGCAGAACCATTTTAGTTTCCTTAAAAAAACCCCATTTGTAAATGAGATGTGAGTATGAGAAGTCTTCTAAAGGTTTAAAACCTAATGTAAATTCTTTTCTTTTTTAACCAACATAAGGATTTTTCCAAGAACCCTTAGATTATGTGGAGGTTCTTGAAACTTTAAAAAGGTTCTTCACATTCACAGACCTCATTTACAAAAAAATTCTTATTTAAAGAACCATCCATTGAAATGTTCTTTAAAGAACCAAAATGGTTGTTCTATGTCATCATGCAAAGAATACTTTCTAGCACTTTTATTTAGAGAGAGTGGAGGGGAAAAGTTGGGTGGTCAGTCCTATTGAAGAGGCCTACAATAAAAATAAAGGTTCCTAAATGGTTCTTGTCTTGGTAGTACGGTTCTAGGAATAAAACCACAGCTGGTATATAACCTTTACATTACATGGAAGTTCTTTGAACTTGAAAGGGATGTGTGGTCAGTCCTTGAGAAGAAGAAGACTACACTCTTAAAAATAAAGGCTCCCAAATGGTTCTTGTCTTGGAAGTACGGTACTAAGAATAAAAACCTCAGCTTGTATATAACCTTTCCGTCACATGGAAGTTCTTTCAACTTGGATGGAAGACTACAACTTGGATAGAAGACTACAAAAATAAAGGTTCCTGAACGGTTCTTGGCCGTTCTTGGAAAAAAAACTTTGACTAGTAATCCTTTAAATTACATGGAATTCATCAATTTTTAAAAGGTTTTTCACATCCATAC